AGAGTGTTTCGCGGCGGCAAGTACTAGCAGAAGCAGCTGTAGAAGAAGAACCGGCGGCAATAGAGGATGCTGCAATTGGAGCGTCCTGGTTGCAAGCACTCGCAGGTGTAAGCTTTGTCTTCCGACAGGAATGTCCCGAAACAACGCTTTCACATGGATTGCTTTGTAAGTTGCAAAACATTCTGAGATGTAGCTAGGTCGGCTGGTCTTGCGGTAGGAAGGTCCCGAAGCAATGGGTCACATTGAAGTGGCCTCTGGGATGTCATTGCAGGCTCGAGAGTTCCTTCGCGCCAAGGAGGAGGGCTCCTCCTCGGATTGCGAGGCCAGCACCTGTGTATGCGCAGGATTGTAGATGTGGGGACTGTGGAAACAAACCAAACAGAAACTCACAGCTGAGGGTGTGTATGGCAATCATGATAATCATGCAGGTCGTCTGCTCCACTCCGGGACCGGTGGCGGTTGTTGCGGAGACGCCGGCTGCGTCAGACAGCGCCGCCCAGGCATGCAAAAGCACTGCCTTCAAAGACGTTCTGACCCTGATGGACGTGCCGAGCATGAAGCACGGATACGGTGAAGGCGGCCAGTCCGTGCAAGACCCGAAAGTCGGTGAGGTCCTGTACTCGGACCGCGTCGCTTGGAAGAGAAAACTGACATTTTTGTTTTTTCCTTCCACGGTTGCTGGTGGTCACTGGTCGTGATTTTTGGTGCAGTGAAACTATCAATCAATGAGGAACTGATGTTCAAGACGCTGAAGAGGGGCGAAGCCATCATCTTTGGCTATCGGGTCATCGACAGCATCTCCGTGAAGAAACGAAGGGTGGATGAGCCGGGCAGAAAGTACACGAAGGCCAAGAGTCCTCTCCCTGTAAAATTCAATGCCTCACCTTCTGCCCGTGCAACAAGATCTAAAAGCGCTCTATCAAGATTGTTAGGAAGACTGTTATGTTTATGGCTATTACCATTGTTTTTGTAGTATGATTATTACGATTATTATGATTAGTACGATTATTGCGATTATTATGATAATTATGATTATTTTGATTGTTATGACTATTACGATTATTAGTAGTATTATTAGTAATATTAGTATTACTAGTACTATTAATACTATTAGTATCATTCGTATGATTAGTATCATTAGTATTATTAATATTATTAGTATTTTTAGTATGATGAGTATGATTAGTGTTATTAGTATTATTAGTATTATTAGTATTATTAGTATTATTAGTATTATTAGTATTATCAGTATTATTAGTATTATTAGTATTATTAGTATGATTAGTATTATTAGTATTATTAGTATTATTAGTATTATTAGTATTATTAGTATTATTAGTATTATTAGTATTATTAGTATTATTAGTATTATTATTCTTATT